ACAAAAATCAGGAAAAAAATGAAGTTTGTCGATAATTTGTCATATTGAAATTTTTTATTTTTAATCCGATCGTCGTGAAACTTTGGGAAACTTAATTTTCTGCCAAAAAATGATCTAGACAAAATTTCATGACAATTGGTCTATAAATCAACATAGCTCAAATTTCACATTTTCACAGAAGTAAGTAAAAAATGAAGTTAGTCGATAGAGAAAAATGCGATTTTGTTTAACTTTCATAAAATCACAAAAACGGTCATATCTCGTTAACCAATGGTTGTCCGATGTTATGGCCTGAGGCAAAGTTGTAGGGAATCAGTGGAGCTACAATTCGTTCTCACATCATTTTGCTGTAAATGGTCGCTTCCATCCATTGATTTCAACCAATTAATATCACTCAAAACTTTGGTGACAATCGTTTTATCGCGCTTATCAAATCAATTGGAATAAAATCTCATAATACCCTATTGTACAGTGTACACATATTTACAGGCATTAATTTTGAAAAATTGATCTTTTATTACTTACTTACCATTAATTTTCGTTACTTTTCTAAATAACTACACAATTATCTAAACATTTCAAATGACTTAGAAAGATTTTTGGAAATTTCCAAATCTGTGAACTATTTACAGATGAAAAATATATAAATATTTTCCATAATACCTGACATATTCAATAGAATTTACGCATGAAATAATTGTTTTTTTGTCCATCTGGTCAGTGTATGAATAACATTGAACGTTGAATGTCAAAAACAAGTTATGATTAATTCCGATGTGACAAATTAACATACTATTTATTCCCTTTGTAATACTATATGATGTGTGATAAAATTAATTCGCGTAAACAATGCCTTGGCATGAGTGAATGATAGTTGATTGAAATGCTGTACCGTATTTCATATTTCAGTTAATCATTGATAATTGTTATTATTTTGCATGTTTATTTCCTTCAACATTTTTCTGCTTTAAAATAACTAGATCTCTTGAAGAATTATCAAAATGCATACGCCTCGCAGGAAGTTTGTGAAACATGTTTGCAAATATTATGCATAAATCAATTTCAAATAAGAACAAAAATTTATGGCAACATTTGTTAAAACTAAATGACCAAAAATAAAAATGCAAATTTTTGTTAATCAATAAAGTCTATCATGCAAATAAAAACTTAAAGGTACCATTTGTGATTTATTCAAAGCACAAAAGTTGGTCGACCGCATGAAGATCGGTCACGAGACCGATCATCGTATGAATGAACGTGCATGTACGATTTTTATTCAATGCATGCTTTTTGATAAGTTTACAAACAATATAAACAACAACCCAAATCAAAACAATAAATATGTATCCGCTGAAACACACACACACACGCGCGCGCGTTTTTACACAGTTGAGTTCAACACCCACTCTAAAGTCACCTGTTTTGCTATCGTCTATGCTCCCCGATTGATACTTGAAATTGTCTACACACAAAATTATCATCATCATTGCCGACATAGAATTATCCAATCTCTCTCTCTCCCTCCCTCCCACTGTTTCTCGTCATTTGCTTCGGCTTCTTTAATTAGCAATGTTTATAACTACATAATTAGCTGCCTATATACGCAAGTGGACGACCGATTGCAAAATGGAAAAGAGACGGTGCCAATTCAAAAATGAGACAGAAGCAGACAGGTAAACAATGAATGCTGAATAATAAGTAATCAACGTACGAATATTTCTCGGTTTATCACAAGCACAACCATATGAAGCGTGTGCTTTTTATGCAAAAAACAAAAATAAATAGCAACGAACAAAAAAAATATCAAATCTATTGCATGACCACATACAACAAAAATAAAACTGTACGTTTACAGTAGCCACAATAAGCTTCCACATGAATAAAATATAAAATATCCATCGACAAATTTTTTCTTCAATCGTCAGTTATTTATCTGATGAGAACGACGTATTTTCCCGCTGTTTTTTTTCTCTCTCCCGTTCGTTTGTTGTGTCTTTGTATTCGACGTATTGACCGATAACGATACGTTGAATTGCATTTGTTCGATAATTGATATTGAAATTTTCAAATTAAATTTCATTGCAGTGTTGCATACACCATTCTATTGGTGAGATTCAAAATAGTCTATGTTAAAAATTTAGTGTTTTTGCGAAGTTTTTTCTTAAACCAGTTTGTCAATTGAAATGTTGATTGCATCAACAGATATTTTTTGAATGTCATTTGTTGTGTTTCACATTTTCAATACGCAAAAAAAATAAAAATAAAAATAAAAATAAAAAAAAGAAAGCTTGGTATTATTGACTTTAATTTGAACTTCAACTTGTACGTGCACACAGGAGCAGCAATCAACTTTACATATATGGATTATATTAACAAGCATCCGATTGCAAATTTAAGTCAGTACTGACCATCATTATTCAAACGATAATCATCAGAACCACAACAGTGATTATCTATGTAAGCAAATGTGATCATTTTCTCTTCATTTTTTAACGATCAATTTTGTTTCCTTTCTTTATTGAAAATGTAATTGTTTTCGATGTGAATATTTTCAAGTAATAATAAACGATTTGTGTGTGCATAGTTTTTTCATTCGAGAATTTCTCATATACCGAAAATAATTAGCAAATTGCATGCGCTCATTTACAATCATCAATTACAATGGAAATTACAAAAAAAAACCAAGAAAATAAGTGTGTTTATTATTTTAAATAAGTTTTGAATATTTGATGGCTTAAGTGATGTATTGCAAAATACCACGTTTTCGAAAATACCATATTCAACTGTCAACTATCAATAATTTTCAAGATAATTTCAATTAGTATTCAAAGCGTGAAAAAGGTCGAATTGGATCTGAATTTATTCTACATATTCAAGTGTGTTATCTACAAAAAAATACTGTTCGTAATTATTTAATCAACAATTGAGTAAAAAAAACACAAATTTTCGTTATAATGATTGTTCAGGTAATAAAAGTCTGCAACTTGAATTGGGATCTCCCCTTGAATATGAAGAATCAAGTACGCATGCAAGTGTGAGTGTGTGTTTGTCAAAGAGAGAAAAAAATATTGATTACCACGAGTAGTGTACCTGTTCGTTTAAAGTACTTATTTGGTAAGCTCTAAAAGCTATCAAATCGGCATCGTGATTTGGCACAAACGGACCATGTCACATAGATTAAATTTGCAATAAATGGCACCGAGAGTGAATGAAAAAAAATATGAGTATTGCGTAAAGTTCAAATGTAAATATGATGCCAAATATATTGGTGTAATTAGTGAGATTGTTTGTGTTAATTGAATGAGAAAGAGACAGAATGGATTGAAATGCCAATGTATTAGCTGAAATCTACTGAAATATCATCGGTAACCCCATTTGTCGCACTCAATCAAAATCAAAAAAATTTTTTTCCTCCATTAATATTACTTTTTATCGTTAGTATCGTCTTTTTTAAATTTCAACTTGATGTCCCCAAAATTGTTTTATTTTCATATAAAAAAAAACGAACACTCAAAATTGTTGTGCAACGACTATAGTGTCTATGCGGCGGCGATTATAATTTAAAAAAAATCATACACAAACACAACAAACCAAGTTACATTGTTGTTGACCATGAATCGTGAACAATTTAAGTATCTTATTTTGATTTAGTTGTAGTAGCAACACAAAAAAGAGATAAAACAGATATTTGTATAAAAAAAAACGAAATCAGTTGCGAAAAAAAATCGAATAATTCGAAATTGTTATACATTGTGGTTGTGACAGCCGATCACGATCATATTGTCAGTATGTTTATTCTCAACATTTAGTCAATTTCCATTATTTCTTTTTTTATTTGTTTGCATTATTATGAAGGTCAGTTATAATTTTAACTGTAACATTTCCAGCACTGAAAAAAAGTTTTTTTTGGAGGGATAATTTTTGTTGTACTAGTACTGCACATTATCATCAATGGCATGGCTTTTGTTTACATTGTGATAAAGATAAGCTAAAATTAGTGATTTTAAATGAGCCAATTATTAAACTTACTTTTTTCTACATTTTTAGTAATTTTATTTAGAAAAAAAAAATCTGTCACGTTTGCGCGCATAAAATTCATTAGATTCTTTTCAAATGTTGCATGAAATTGCCTTAATTTGGTTTGTAGTTATGATTATCAAATTGCCAAGTGATTAGACACTTGCATTTCAATAAATAATTGTTCGTTACTCGGTATATGAGATTTTTACGTGTCCCACATCTATTAACCTCTAAATGGAAGCTCATTTTTTTACTCAACAAAAAGAGAATTTTGTTATTGAACAATTTGAATTGCAGATCACGGCCAATTTGCATCACAAAAAGAACACTCATCATTGTTTTTTCTCTCTCACACACTCTCTCTCTCTCTCACACACTTCGAACTTTGATAAATTTTACGTATTGATAATGATAAGATATAAATAGCCAAAGGAGGCGAAAAAAATTGATTGTTAAAATCTATTTGCATATTTGTAAATGGCATCTGTAAATCTATATAATATTACCAATCAAATCAACTTTCGTCACACAAAATATTTCAAGATCAATAACATTCCAAACACCACCTCGATTTAAAAAAAAAATGCTCATCCATATTAAATCCAATTTGCTAAATGAGTGATTTAGCATTTTTTGCAATTTAGATATGAGAAAATAAATGACAGATGTTCGTGTGTTTCATTTATCGGTGAAAAATGCACTTTTTTTCATTTCCGCATAATAAATAACTACAAAATATAATTAAATAACAAAATAAATTAAGTGCAACAAGTAGATGCAATTGTGTGTTAAACTCGAATCTACATTTACACGGTTAATTTAAGAAAGTAGATTGTTTGACATTAAAACAAATTTGAAATTCTTTAAGTCACCAGACTGTTACGGACTGTTATCTTTATCTTTGGGGTGCAAAAAAAGTCGAGACAATGTTTGTTTTACGGTTTTTTTCTGTACTTTCATTCTAATTAGATGTATTGTTTTGAATACGACAGCTGCTGATTGTACGTTATGCACATTTCGAAATGATTTCGTCTATGTGGCTATTTGACAGCCAAAGGGTACAAAATGTGTTACACACATATATATATATATACCACCGCTTCTGTTGTCATTGTAGCTGTGACTGTCACATCATTTTTAAATCGTTTTGTTTATGAGCGCCAAAGTCTTTAACATCCATCATTAAATTCATATGAAATCCCAATTGGTTTACTTGTAATTTGGCATAAGCAAGCAAATTGTAATGTTTTATCGACCTCTCGAAATATCGGTACCTTATTGTGCGTGCAACAAAGTGAAGCGCATTTTTTTTCTTACTCTCTGTCTGTTGTTCATGCACGATGTCACTGCATGGGCATGACATTCGTTTGGAATTCAATTTTTAAAAAAGCGGTAAAATCAAGCACGATTGCGGTGTTTGTGTGTGTTTTTTGTTTCTTTTTCTCTTTTTGTTTCAAACGCACAAAGCGCAAAAAATTTATTCTAAATGTCATATCGCACATAATATTTGTGTTATAGTTTGTAAAAGTACAGGTTGTTGTCTGAGTGCGAGTTTTTTTTTTTCATTTTAAATGTTAATCACATTTATATGCATATTTCGGTTGTAAATTTATATAGTAACCGATTAATTTTAGCAAGAAAAACCCGTTCATAAAGTTCAACAACGAGAATAAAATTCCTGGATAAGTTAGGAAAATAAACGTACAAAAAAAATTAGTAACAACAACAAACACGCAGCGAACAAATCACGATGATGAACGGGTGTTGGCAAGCCGTAAAACGACGTAAACAAATATCCGACAACGACGATGGTGACACACAATTGGCCAGAGTTTTGAATTTATTTGATTTGACGGCACTCGGTGTTGGAAGTACACTGGGCTTGGGCGTTTATGTTTTGGCCGGCAGTGTGGCGTACAATGTAAGTTTCCACATGTTTTTTATTTATCTTTCGTTCTCTCCATACCATTTCTCTTTTTTTTCGCATTGGCAATGACATTTCATTCTTCATAATGTTGCTGGTGTATTCAAGGAAGCTGGACCAGCAGTCACAATATCGTTTTTAATAGCCGCTATTGCATCAGGAATAGCTGCGATTTGTTATGCCGAATTTGCTTCTAGGGTGCCGAAAGCAGGCTCAGCATATGTGTATACATATGTAAGTGTTGGTGAATTTCTCGCGTTCACCATCGGATGGAATTTGATTCTGGAATATATTATCGGTAAGAAAGTATGATTTGTATGGAAATACAATTTCTTTGTGAAATGTTCGCACCTCAATGTTGTTAACTTTTCTTACATAATTTATAATCAAATGTTGAATGTTTGTTTCTCCCAAAGGAACATCAAGTGTGGCACGAGGCTTATCGGTGTATTTGGATGCTTTGATCGATAATCAAATGTCAAAATTATTTCGTGATTTAATACCGATGAACGTTGGCTTTTTGGCATCGTATCCGGATTTCTTTTCGTTTATCGTCGTGCTCATGCTAGCCATTTTACTTTCCGTTGGCGTTAAAGAATCCAGCATTTTGAATAATATCTTCACCACAATCAATTTGGCAACTGTCGTTCTTGTTATCGCATCTGGGGCGATGAAATGTAAGTTTATTCTTAATCATTTATGACAGAATATTTGAATTGAAACAAATGTTTTACTATTTATTCGACGATGATGACGAGGATGCCATCGTCATTTTCGTAATCAATAATAATTAAATTGGCGGCTGCCAAACAGTTATAAACATTTCGGTTTTCTTTTTTGAAATGTCAAAATCCCTGCTACCGACGGATGAAAATGAATGAAAGAACATTCTTACAAACTAATTTATATTCAAATCAATGTATTAAACAAAATATTGTGTGTGTGTGTGTGTGCGTATACAAATTTCAGCTGATCCAGCAAATTGGTCGATACGAAAAGAAGATATACCGGACGGTGTTCGGGGTGGCGAAGGCGGTTTTATGCCATACGGAATCGCCGGTGTGATGGCAGGTGCTGCAAAATGCTTTTACGGTTTCGTTGGGTTTGACTGTCTGGCGACAACCGGTGAAGAGGCGCAAAATCCCAAGAGAAATATACCGTTGTCAATCGTTTTATCGCTTATCATCATATTTTTGTCATACTTTGGCGTATCTACCGTTCTTACCATGATGTGGCCATACTATTTACAGGTTTGATTAAACTTTATCAATATTTTGTATTATTTGGCTGCACAAAATTCTCCAATTTTAATATCATCTATTCAAATCGAAATGATGTACCTCAATTTGGTTTAATTTAAATTTTCCAGAATCCCGACGCACCATTCCCTCATGTATACGAGCAAATAGGATGGATCGAAATTAAATGGTAGTGGTTTTTTATTTATTTCTTTTTTTACCTTTTTCGGCTTAAACTTTATCAAGAATTCAAAATTTCACAGTTTCATGCGAAATTCTTATTCATTTGAATGTGAAAAAGATTAATCAACCAAAAATCATGAACAATAAGTTTTCGATTAAAATCAATCAGTCAATGAAATCATTGAATTTTCATATCTAAACAAACAATTTAAAATCCATTAATAACTTGCATTGTTTCTCCCAAAAGGATTGTATCAGTTGGTGCTGTGTTTGCATTGTGTACGAGTTTATTGGGTGCTATGTTTCCGTTGCCGCGTGTTTTGTATGCCATGTCTTCGGATGGATTATTGTACAGTGTATTTAAGCGTGTTAATGTACGCACAAAAACCCCATTGAATGCAACATTAATATCTGGCTGTGTTGCGGCTGTGATGGCACTCATTTTTGATTTGCATCAATTAATTGATATGATGTCAATAGGTAAAATTGATTTTCAATTATAACCATTATTATTCAATAATTTATCAATTTTATTATAAAATAATACTCTGAATTGAGTATAATTGAGTATCCAATAATAAATTTATGAATTTTTGTTTTTTTTTTTTATTATTTCTTTTTCAGGAACATTAATGGCCTATACAATAGTAGCTGTTTGTATTCTTGTGTTGCGCTATCAAGAAGACAACACTTCATATATAAATAAGACACCATCAACGTTGTCACAAATTCTACGACAAGTGTTTAATTTGAATTTTTTAAAGCGACCAAATTCACTATCATCGAACATAACAAAGATGACGGTTGTTTTGTTTTCGCTGTCAACAGCGATTTTTTGTCTGCTGATCGATGCAAATTGGGAACTATTTTCACCAATTCATATTTGTTTAATGGTAGTTGGTGCAACAATGATATTATTCTTTATCGTGATTTTACGTCAACCGAAATTTGACTGTGATTTAAGTTTCAAAGTGCCGGCCGTACCATTTTTGCCAATGCTTTCCATATTCATGAATTTATATTTAATGTTTCAACTCGATATAAATACATGGATTCGTTTTGCCGTTTGGATTACAATCGGTTATATAATCTATTTTACATATGGCATACGACAATCGATTGAAGGAAGCCGAGAAAAATTGGAGTTAAGTGAACATGGCCAAAATGGAAAACACGCATTCGAAGGCAAATGCTATGGACGACCGGTTGCCGCGCACACAATGCAAAGCATCGACGATTTGAACAATGCAAACATTGATTTCACCACTGGCAGCACCGTTCAATTGAGTCATCAATAGGCCACCAACACAAACTAAATTTTATGATACGCGAGATTGAAACATATACATTCATTCCATGCACATATAAAAATAGAGTAGCTAATTTGATGATTTTTTGTTTGTTTGTTATTGTTTTTAACTACATTGTGTTATTTTGTTTTTATTTTGTGATGTTCCTTGGTTAAATTTAGGATTTGTGAGATTGATGCTCCAAATTATAAAACGAGTGCAATTGTTATTAACACTGTTAAGAAACAGGGACATTTTTATAAGCTTTCTGTAAGATTTAATCTTTTTTTAAGGGAACAAAATAATTTTTTTTTTAAATCCTATTTCAACTGAGAAAATTTAAGGCATTTAAAATGTGAACAAAATTCAATAAATTTTTATCAAACTGGTTTTAAAGAAAATAAAAGTCGTACGGTTTGTTTTTATATTTTTATTTTGGACTTGAATTGGATTTTACATTTGACACGCTGATAGCATTAGATTGTTGTTGTTGTTGTTGTCGTTTTTGTTGTTTGCAAGGAGGTTAGTTTAAAATTTGTTGTTTTGAATAAAGTGATAGCATTTTGAAGCACTTTTTAACTTTGCATCTAATCTGAATTTAGAGTTAGACTACGGGTAATCGTATTTTAGGACAAGAAGAAACGGAAAATAGGAATCCGAAGAATAAAACGTTTAATTATCAGCTGATATAGCGGTGATGTGATCATTAATTGTAAGCAATTGCTTAATGAAGTCACGGTCCGATACAGTTTCACATAATTGTTTCAGCAGAGCGCACAATTCTTGTTTGGTTAATCGTATCTGGATCGATAAATTTTCCAAATGATTCATCATGGTATCAGGAATCTGCAAGAAAATGGAAAAATATAATGAGATTTGATTTACAAATGAAAAGAAAAAATCAAATAATTTTATTACCTTTTGTTCATCGGCGAATGCCGTGAATTTGGATTTGATTTTGATGCTTTGTCCGTTCGAACCATCGTAGAAGAGAGTGAGCGTTGAATCGCCACCATCTTTTGCAACCGGAAAATAGATACCAGAAACCACACGACCTTTTGCATCACGTGACAACAACGATCGAAAATTGTATACCAAATTACGTCGCACCGTTACATCGATTGCTGTACGATATGGTCGTTTCACGTAAATTAACGAGATCTCATGATTTTGTTGATCGCCACGGGTGGTTCGTTCTCCCCATTCAATGAATTCATCATTAAAATTATTGAATTTGTAGCAGTATTCACGTTTCAAATGTGGCTCTTGTGATTGAATGAACCAGCCGGTGTGCGGATAGCATTGATCTTTCATTACGGTAACAGCGCGTGCAACATGATATCCTGGATCCAATACCATCATACCTTCACGTCCCGCAACAGTGATTCGCATTGCAACCAATGAATGTTCCTTTTCCAAATTATATATGGCACTATCGATGCCAAGCTGTTTGCAATTTAAAATGTACTGTTGAATTGATTCAACAGCTTCTTCGCATGATACCAAATACAAATGGTCGCTCAGTTGGGGGCAAACCTCACAAATGCGTGACACCACCTCCATCGCCAAACTGACGCACATGTGATCACGACGATTGATTGGAGGTGTATATGATTGGAAAAATGTACGCAAATCGTTTGCCCCGGAGCGCTTGAATGATTTATAAAAATCCACAAAATTATTGACCGTATTGTAATGTGTTTCCTCCAATAATCGATGCACTATCACATCGATCAGCGCAACTAGATCTTCATATTGCCAAATCTGTAAATAAACGAATAAATAAATGAATAACGGCCTTCGTTGGTTGGAATATTTATTGTTTTGAGTGCATCGACATGTTTTACTTACGTTTTCAACGTTAAATGGTTGTTTGATATTATTTGACCACATTGGAAATGGTAATGGGTGAGAAATAGGCCAAGCACCCTCACACTGATCAAACGCTTCCGAATTATATGTATCCTTGTCAAGAGTCCATTTCGTTTTGAGTAAGAACTGCAGCTGATTGGCTAAATCGTCTGCGGTGACCATATCATCGGCCTTTGCACCAACCACATTCACGCGACACCGTTGTTGATTCGTTGCTGGCTTCGATTGTTGCTGTTGCAACAATGGCCATTTCGATATCGATGTCGTCGTCGCTGTTGTCGAATTTGAACGAGTCAGTGCAATTGGGCTTGATGCCAATTGGTTACAGCAGACACCATCATATGGCTGAGTTCTGTAGCTTAGCCGTAATTGTTCACCGAAGCTCGCATCGGCGAGTCAACTTGGCCATTCGCTGCCCCATCGTCCAACCGTTGGTACGTAACCGCCATTATTACTTGTGCTCGATTCCGTTATTGTGAGTGCGGCTGCAAAGCCACTTGGATCAAACAAGGCCTGATTTTGGCCAGGCTCGTCTCCACTATTGACTGATCTTTTTTCACGATCTAAAAAAAAACGAATGAACAAATAAAAATTAGAAAAAAAAAATTAATATCAGACATATGTCAATTACTTTTTTTTTGTGTTTTATGTTAACGCTAATGGATTATGTTGTATAAAAATAAAATTGAGTCATCAATCTTTCATGCAAAGATTAAGTTTAGGTCATTAAATGGATAAAGAAACGACGACACTTTACACACCACCTTTCGATTTATGGCACGCACACACACACACATACAGCGTCAACCACTAACTCAAGTGTTAATTCCGTGCGAACGCGTATAACCAAGAGAAATTAGTCAGTCGCACGCGACAAACGACGAATTATATAGCAATCTATTGACGTTGACACCGATTTTTTTATGTTTTACGTATTTAGTATGTGTGTGTGTGTGTGTGCGTTGCGTTTATTCTTATCAACTCTCTGGTGAATTCTGAAGGTTTTATTGATATATCATTTGAATGCCATTCCAAAGTGATGATAAATGTGTGCTTCGCAACAATAGATAATAAAAATGACTACATTCGATATGTTCATGATGACGATACAATCTAACTTTCTACTTACAAATTCGTTACTTTTCATGTTCAAAACATGAGTACGAATCAAAAAAAGCCAAATGCATAAAATTGAAAGTGTTTCAAGAAAATCGAAAATTGCACATTACATTTGGCAACAGTCCCAAATTCAAATGCACTTTTGCATGAGATGCACGGTGTTTTTAGTCATGGTCAATTTTCGCTTCGAAATAAATTTTAATGAAGCTAAAGAGACGTATAGCCCATTTTAACATGACATCACAAGTGTATTAATGCGCAAAAATAGTTTTATGTTGTTGTTCTTCTTGGCATTTTTTTTGTGTGTATACATTACTCAGAACATGTTTTTTTTCGCGCCTATAAAAAACCCAACCATTCGACAACGATGTCTAATCGAATTGAATGTACGATCCAATGAAAATTCGTAAGGAATTACGCAAATGCTATATATATACGTATATTTTGAAAGTGCAATTCTTGGAAATCTTCGCATTCGATTTGCGTCATGTAAAATACAAGTGATATACAAAATGGATAGTGAATTGATCAGGTTACGAATATAGTGTTTACGAAGGCGAATGGTTTGCGGTGCGCGTGTGCGCGTTTTGAAAAACGTGGAAAAACTACTCGAAATAAGAGAACAAGACCTCGACACGAATGGATATTTTCCATGCTCAACAAGTGGCACTAGAAACAATTCAAAACGTGACCATACATCATTTAGCGGCAAGTTTTTTTTCAACGTGGTAGCAAAACGTGAATGAGCTTCGCAAGCGGTCGCTTCTTCTTTCACATTTTATTTTATTTGGGACAATTGATATCATACCAATTAATGGTGACTTGCCCCCAAAACCGAAATGTAATATACGGAAAACGAGAATGAAAAATACTACAAAATACCACCGTTCTCTGACACGCAATTCGAAAATTTTACTTTTATCTGTATAGTTTCCGAGGAGGGAGAATATAAAAGAAGAATATTACGACAGATAGAAATAATAATTTTTCTTTCAATTGTGACCCATTTCAATCAGTTATTGTAGCACTGTGGCATGCATACATTAAAATATAAACGAAAATGTGATGTAAACGTATTAGCGATAACAATGAAGATCGGTAATGAGTCATCCGATTTGAATCATGAATGTATTCGACTCTCAGCTCTTTATATATATATTGTTTCAACGTTCGCATTGGGTCGTTCGTTCTTCAAATTTCGTTGACTTGTGAAATTCGAATGGGAAGGAAAGCGAATGAAAAAGGAGCGCACACTGTCTGTGTATGTGTATGATATTCTGACGTTGTGGCATTTGATTTGATTTTTTTTATTATTTCTTTGGCCGGAGTTGAACATCCTATACACACTGATGTGATGTTTCTGAATTCCAAATTGTTATGCCCACATATGTGCGCCGAACAAAATGAGTGTGTATGCCAATTCAATTCGCCGAACATATGAATGAAAATAATTTGAAACAGCTGACTCGATTCAATGAATTTCATCGGAAGTCGAAACATGGTTGCTGGTTTTGAGTTCAAAAATGGCCTCTATCTATCTACAAAATATTGGTTTTCTTCCCTACTTCAATGTGATTATCGAACATATGTGAAACAACTTATGGAACTGAAATACAATGAAAAATGTTGAACTTTACTTACCCATACAACGAATAGCTCCCAATGACCAAATATTTGTGTCTTGTATTGTGTGTTGTGTTGAATGCTCTTCCGTTGACGAAAAAATGTTGAATTGTTTGTTTATACCTCCTCGGTTAAGTTGGTTGATTTGTTTCTTTGTACGATTTCTTTAGGTTTCTTTTTTTTCTCTCTCGCGATTGAATACCCAAATAATCAACACAAAAATATAAAACAAAAATCCCCCAAAAAAAATAAACTAAAAAAAAAATAAACTAAAGAGAAAAAAAAATTAAAATAAATCTAAAAATAGAGATTCAGGACTCTATTCAAAAATTAACGATCAAACTTGATTCGAAATAAAAAAACAAAATTCAACAGAAAAAAATAATAATAGATCAAAAACGGAATGTAATTGCTATTTAGATTTAAAAAAAAACCTCCTCCCTTTCTCCAAAATAAAAAAAGGAGAAAAAAATCGAATATTGAATAAAAATACTAACAACTTGTGTATGTTGTTTTTGCTATGTACGATGTTTAATGCACTGCTGCTAGCTGCAGACTGCTCGTGTCGATGAAGTATCGCTTCGAAAATCTATTTGACGAATGACTGACTGTGCCAGTACTATTGCTCGAATATATATACATAGAGCGTGATGTAGCAATGCGACGCACACATGCTTTTTGTGTGTATTTGAAAACAACTGCTCATGTAAAAGTGTGTGTTGTTCTTGTTGTTTTTATTAGTTTTTTTTTTTCAAGTATGTTTTTGTTCATACAGAAATGTACACACCAATTAAAGTACACACAAACCAAACAGCCAATAAATGTATTAAAATTGTTCAGATGTTATCGCTTCGAAACCTTGTTGTTGTTTTTTTCTTCTATGTTTCTTCTTTATATTTTCGTCATTATGTATGTAGTCGTCTATTGCTGGTTGATCGTAATTGTTTTTTTCTTTCCTTCGTTTGCATGTACACTGTCTCTCTATTTAACCGATGAACTTTTTTCTATTTCGTTTGTTTATTTGTTACTCGATTCATTTGTTTATTTTTCTCTTGTCGATATCACTGCATGTTTTTATACTGGCATTGTATTAGTAGTAGCAATTTTAAACAAACCAATTGCACACACATGAAAACAAATGCGTACACTTCTCTAACTTATTTAACTGTGCCTTTCAAAAGTTGTTTTTTATGGTTATTACTTTCTTCGGGGAAAAAATTCCAAACATATAAATGGACACATTGGAATTTTATGGGCGCACATATTGACTTCCGATAATGTACTTTGATTTGAGATTAGGACAAAGAAGAAAACAAAAAACAGGTGCAAAAAGAACAGAAAACGGATATATATGGTTGAGAGACAGAGAACGAGAAAAATAAATTAAACGAAATTTGTGGAATTGTAGCGAAAAGGCTGGAAATGAAATTTAGCCGATAATGATCATGCGATAATCCAATCGTCGAAATGTTCGTCAATAGTCTTTGAATTGATAAATTTACTTGTACCTATCGACTTCATTCTAACTTTTATTTCCCGAACAAACATCATTGCGAAACCATTTTGACGAACCGCAAAAAAAATTGACCCTTTCAGATTTTGAATTACCACTTGACACGTCACAAACGGCAGCAATAATTTAAAAAAAAGAAAACGACGAAATAAAATGTTTGATTGGTGAACGGGCAATTGAGTTATTTTGGATTCTCTTTAATTATATTTACACACTTCACACATCTATAAAACAAAAACAGAAAAAAAATGATGTCGCACTAAAAATCTACCAATCAAAATAAAATTTAGCACTTATGACATGTACTTTGTCTATTTGATATTGTTGTTGTTTTGAAATGTTCATTGTTGTTTTTGTCATTTGATATGGCTTATCAATATGGATTGACATGCACGTTTTACGACTGTCAATTGATAATTGTAGCATGTTTTAGTCGGGTGATTTCTTTTTTTTTTATTTTATAATATTTGATTTACACAATTCCCATGCTGATTATTATTGTCGATTATGTATGTCAATTTGCTCCTGTGATACCCAAACCTCGATCGATTTGAACTTTGTCTGGAAAAATGGAATAAATGCTATTATTTAAACAAATATTGATGGAAAATTAAGAGATCACAATTTATAAAATAAAAAAAAAATTCAAGAAAAGAATTGCATTTGTTTGCAAAAAAAAGGTGGCAAAAATTTTCGAACGATAGAAAAAGAAGGAACAAAAAATTGGTTTGGATGAAGGACATTTATTTGTTTGTCACGTAATTTCTTGATCAAACAAAAAATCTAATATATCATAAAAATTGGAAAAAAGAAATCCTCAAAACAACAAGAACTTGTATTTAATGTGTCTTTTTTTAGTTTATCTATGTGGCTCTACAATCGTTCGATTAAAAATAGCTGCATGCGGAGATGCGAGAGCGATGAAAAGGAAATGGCACCCATTCGCTCACATTTAATATACTGTTTTTTTTTGCCGTTTTTCCTTAGCTTTTTTTCTCGCTCAGAATTTTGCACACACACCGTAAAGTTCAATGCCATCAGCGCATATACGTTTCACACGCACTTTTTTCTTTTTATAAATCGCATTTTGCCTGTATAATTTCTCGGTTAATCGTTATCCATTTCGTTGTTATCCAATACTTAAACTTGAATAAAAAAAAAAAATTGAAACAAATTCTCTATCAATCGAAAGCGACACAGAAACGATTAAGTTGAAATTCAATGTTTATTGATAGCAACTGAAAATGCACATGACAATTTTATTATAAGTGAGAGTTGCAAATTAATAACTAAACTGGCAATTTCCAACGTTGCAATGCGTTCTTCCAACGCTGTCTTTCGCCAATTTTCAAGTTCAAATCTGACTGGTCCGAAACGTAGTTTCAATGTCACGCATACAACGATGTCATGTACCGCTATTAAAAGTGCCAAATAAATGCATCAGAGTGAAAATTGGACAGTGTTAGAGGCAAACTTTGGCAACAATGCATATTTGGTTCACTGTAATTTACATAGATTTCCTAACAAAATTATGAAATTCATTTCAAAGGTGGCTTTTTGGCTCAACAACTACCATCATCAACATATAAGCACGTTTGTTTTAATAATAACCGTTGCATGCGACATTCAACTTGTTTGTTTTCATTGAATGTTATGCAACATAACAAGAGATGGCGCATTGAGACCGTATACAAGGACACGCAACACATATTTATAGTATTCCATATTTTTTTTCCCGTCGAGACGCACAAAGCGAGCAGAAATATCAATACCATTCAATGTGGTTTGATTGATTTCAAGAAACAACGCAATTAAACACGTGAATGGCGCTATTTCAAATTAAATAACGCAACAACAACAACAAAAAAACATGACGTATATCCATTGTAGATGGCACAAAAACAAGCAATAGAAGAAAAAAAAATCACATTTAGATTGTCCGAAAGAATGTATTTAGACATATCATTCTCTTTTATCGACACCGATTGAAATGGCCTTCGAACGGTTTATTAAGATAAGAGATTAGATGAACCATTTAAAACGCATATAATAATCATATAATTCACAATTCACAATGGCAAATGCCAATCAATTCAAAGTAAAACGCAATTAAAAACAATAGCAATTCATTGCGATCGCAAAACTTTTAGCACACTGTTTATTGGATTGCCTTTCGAGAAAAAAAAGTTTTTTTTTCGTTTTGTTTTGTTTTGGCTCTTGTTGTTGTTTTTTCATCCCTTTTTTTGATTCGTTAAAAGCAACAACAGACGAACTGTACACTTAAATATCACTGAGCGAGTTGAATTTCTTGTCGAACGAGGTCAAATGAAATTTATTATGGTAAGCGAAGCATAAAAAAGGACGCACAAAAAATAACCAAACACATAACACATTTGAAAAACAAAATAAAAAAACACAGAATGTGAAAAAACTTAAGAAAACAAATAAACATCATCAACACCACCATCACCACCACCGCCGTGAAAACAAAACAATCTAGTAATAGCACTTACGTGAAATTTGGAATGGCATGCGAATTAAAATACACAAATGGATTTTCTCTCTTCGGTTTTAGCCGAATACTATGTGAGATTGAGAGAGAGAGAGAGAGAAAATGAGCAAAAAAAGAGACCAATTCTTAAATATCCATCTTATTGTTTACGCTTTTTATCGTTTTTCTTCCTTTTTCCCCCGTTATAAATAATGTGTTTTCACTGAAAATACCATTAATTTATGCGCACCGTGTATACAGTGCTCAAAACATCGACACACCATGACAATCGGAATGCTAAACAGCTGTTTGAATGCATATGGATGTGTTGTCGAGAGCGTGTATTTGTGCTTTAGAGTTTTTCCTCGTTTTCCCGCTAAAGTGTGTTTCATCCATTTGTCTAAACAATTTCGATGCTCGCTCCCTCATTTCTCTCAATAATGCTCCATGCTGCATTCTTTTCGCATGAATTTGACATGTCCCATAAAATGTTCACATTCGTAAGATTGCGACCGATATCAATTATATTGTTCAGTTGCTGGTATTTAGTTCTTGTTATTAATTTTTATTCTTGGTTTTGGTTTTCATATTCTATACGATTTCTCTCTCTCTCTCTCTCTCTCCTCTTTTGTGCTGCAAATGTTCTCATTTTAAAATTGTGGTTCTTGAAATGAGAATACATGAGTCTTGAAATGAGAAATTTTTTCCTCCCGGCCCCTTTCATATTGAACCGGAATGAGTGGAGACCAAAATAAAATGATGTTCGCTACACTAAAGAGCTTTTCAATTGTTTTCAGGATTGTGAATCAAACATAAAGAGTGCAAAAAATATAAAAAAGAAAAAAAACATTCACTATAGTGAGACGATTGAAAATAAATGTAGACAATGCGAAAGGATTTTTCAACGAAAAACAAACAAAAAAAAAAACAGAAGAGAAAAGTGTGCAAGCATAAATTGGAATTCCATAGACAATGAGAAATGTCAAGAAATTCCGCGAAACACATACACGTAATATTTCTTATGGATTCATTGAACTGTGTGCGCATCATATGAAGATGGAGAAGAAAGAGAAAAAAGACTCCACGAAATTATGGCATTTTTATCATAAGTCATAAACAGTACACAAAATAAAACGACGTAGATAACGGACGCACAATTGACATTGCATGCCGTTCGGTGTTAACGTGAAAATATCTATAAAAGTTAAGTTTTATATTTTTCACAACTGGATCAAGGATTAAAGTTGTTAAACAACCCCCGAAATTTTAAGTGCATTTTAGTTGTATTCAGGTATTGTTCTCCTTTACTTCCATCCACCTCCCCTCTCTCGCTCTCTTTCTTTCTGCCATTTTCAGCAAAGCCATAAGCATAAGATTATCCCC